CTCTCTCTCTCTCTCTCTCTCTCTCTCTCTCTCTCTCTCTCCTTCAGTTCCATTTCAATTTCAAGCAATTTATTGGCATGATTGTTTTGCATGCAATATTGTCAAAGCACACACAAAGAAACTGACATAAGAGAAAAATGCCATAATAGAAGACTTTCAGTAAGATATTATTAGACATCAAAATTAACCTGTGAATATCTCTATCTAACAGAAAATTGGAATGGGGCCCCTGAGCGCATGCGCGTTTCTGGCGTGAAGAGTGAGTCCTCTTCAATGCAGAGCGAGAAACTCCGCTGTCTTGCCCGAGATATCTCTGAACTGGGCCAGCAGGGCACGGCCAGCAGCGGGCATGATGCCAACGACATTGCTGAGGACACGGTGCGTGATTTCTGTTGTCTAATGCAGGCTTTAAGAGGAAATGTTGTTCATTATCAAAGACTGACATTATTGCATTAAATAATGGTTCTGGTTAGATCATATTAAAATATTTGCATTGCATATGTTATGTTCAATTCAATTCAATTCTGCAAATTGAACTGCAAATAAACTTTAATTGAATCTTGAATTATGTGCATCTTCTCAATGGACCCTCTGCAGAAGCTTCACGGACCCCTCAGGGGTCAAGTAAGGTGACATAAGAAAATGCAGTGATTTTGCAATTGTAAGCTGGTCACACAAAGATTGTGGGTTGGAGTCAGTGGGAAAAATCTCTCTAGATATTGGCATCGACCATTGAAAAATCCATATCACTACTGGACAGTTACAGTCTGAGAATCTGAGAAAAATGCTTTTTTCCAAAATCAAATTAAAGAAATAAGAAATTTAGAATTTGGATTAAGGCATTTTAAATTAAAAATTAAATGAAAAAATCTTATCTGCATAAATTAAATATTTATACTAATTTGTAATGAGTTTTTTTCATGCTTCAGTGGAACTTGCGATGTGTTTTCAATGTATCATATTGGAAAGCATCTACTAAATGGCATCAGTTAAATATTTGCACTAGACGTTCCCATAGCCTGTAGAAATCCCAAGGCATTTTCTTTTAACACAATTCACATTCCAATGAACTTGATTATTATAAAGTTCTTTAACATACAGTAATAATGCTCCCAAGAACAGACAAAGACATGAATTTTTTTTTAATTATTTTATTTTTATTTTTTTAATTATTTAAATTATTTTTTGGTATATTTTTTATTTTTATAATAAAAAAATATTTTATTAATATCTTATTTGTATAAATTAAATATTTATGCATACAGTAAAATGTTGTTGTTGTTTTTTGCTTTACAGTAACAAAAATAGTTTTAATTTTTATTTTTGCTTATGGAATTGGGGTGCAAGTCTGTAATTTCATAATACAAGAAAAAAAATCACAAAATGTCTTTTTGCAAAATATAAGTTTTCATTTGTTCTTATTTGGGGTAAAATATATTATCTTATCTTGGGGATCTTTTTGTAGTGTGAACAGAATATTATGAAAACCACAATGTCAGCTGACAGTTTTATCAACTAATTTGCAAACCACAGGGACCATCCTAGCTATGCACCTTGCTCAAAAGCAGAATTCAAATCAAACATGAGTATGACAGGAAACGTCCAAAAGCTTTGAACCACCAGCCAATCAGTGGATGACCCAGATCCTCAATTTTTTTGCTCAAACTGCCAACTACATGCTATGCAGCTTTGAGAGAGCTCCAGGAATCTGTAATTATAGCTTTCGCTGTACAGCCATGCAGATGTGTCTAGATGTTACAGAGCTGAAGAATGCTTGTGTGTGTTTTCAGGAGGAGCCGGGCCCTGGTCCAGGAGGAGGGCTGTGTTTTGCAGACGGCTGCAGAAGAGTGGACTACGTTCTTGTTTATCACTCCAAGAGACGTCAGTCCCAACACCGCCTCTCTGTTGTCTCTAACGGTAACGTGCCGTCTCAAAGCCACACCCCTTCACGCAGGAGTACGAAGGGCGATATTTTGGAGGCAGTGCTGGAGGCGGGGCTTGCAATGGAACCCGCCAACGAACTACAAGATAAAATTAGAGAGGAATTTGAAAGAGGACTTCAGGAGGAAGGCTTGGAGATTGAACATGACAAAGAGGTTTGTGTTGATGTGTGCATAGTTATGTTCAGACTGCTAAAATACTAGCCAACTGCATACTACGCAGTATACACTAAATACTGTACTGCCTACTATTTTTAGTTCTTAAATATGTAAGAAACAATGCATTATGCAACATTTCAAACAGTAGGATGCTACTGTAAATTGTCATATGATCTGCTTATATCCATACACTACTGTTCAAAAGTTGGTAAGATTTTTTAAAATCTTTTTGAAACTCTTAAAATACAGTAAAAATAAATATTATTACAATTTTAAATAAATGTTTTCTATTTGAATATAATTTAAAATGTCATTTATTCCTGTGATGCAAAGCTGAATTTTCAGCATCATTACTCCAGTCTTCAGTGTCTCATGATCTTTCAGAAATCATTCTAATATGCAGATTTGCTGCTCAAGAAAGAGTTTTGTTGTTGTTGTTGTTGTGAAAAACGTGATACATTTTTTCAGAATTCTTTGATTTAAAGACAGTTCAAAAGAACAGCATTTATTTAAAATAGACTTTACATTATAAACGTTTTTACTGTCACTTTTGATCAATTTAATGCATCGTTGCTGAATAAAAGTATTCATTTATTTTAATACAATAAATTACTGACCCAAAACATTTGAACAGTAGTGTATGTAATTTCACAAGTGGTGTCAACACAGTTATCATTTTTTGGAAATTAAAAGGGGTTGTTTTGCATTTATTTAAAATACATTTTGTGTAAAAGTCCTTAATTCAATCAGTCTGATCAGATAATGAAAATGGTGCTTAAAATAGGCCAAAAATCTGCATATTGCAAAATTAGTGTGAGTAGCATAGTATATTCTGAACATAGCCTGTGTGTGTTCTTGTTTGCCAATGCATGTCTCTATATCATTTTCCTGGCAAACACATTAATGTATCATTGTCTCATGTGTTGAGCCATGAATAATCAGGGATGAGCTCAGTTTTGAGTGTAATACTAACAGAATAAACACAATCAAGAGATTCCCAAGGTGACCTTGGAACTTAAGAATTGAAGACCCAGTTTAGAAAAAGCCCAAACCCTCCCACACCAAGAAAAGTCTATCTTTTTTGAAAGAGGAGCTAGTTTTCATTTTCAAGCAATGCAGCATATTTTAATACTAGTTAACAGATGCCAAAGAGCATTTCTTCACTTTCCTGCAATGCTGCAGTGGTGGCCCCAGCGATATATTTGCGACAGATGCAACTATGGTTGTCACAAGGGATGATCGGTTCCCCCTGCATCATGGATTTTCCCAAGTTGAAGCAGGGAGAGCTTAGTATTTCTGAATAGGAGTAGATTGGTTGACTCATGCAGCTTTTTTCCCCCCAAAAAAGCTTATACTCAAGCAATACCCTCATGAATCCAAATAGAGTTCCTATTATTATGCAGGTTTGAGTACACCTTATGCACGAAGAAACTACTAGATATTTCAACCTAAAAGAAATTATATTTTGCATAATGAAAACAAAGCCTATTTTTAGGACCATTATGATTTTTAGTTTTTGCTTACTTGATAATAATAATGAATAATGCAATGAAAATCATCTGCGTGAACACAGTGTTTTTAATTAATCGGCATAAATTACATTGAAAACTAATTCTACCATGTTGTGTACTTGCAAATTATTTTGTAAGTGAAAAACATTATTTTTTGATATTGCATAACTAACTGTAATAGTAAATTAATTCTTAGATGCAAAGGCATTGTTCCTATGTCCGATGTCTGTACAGATCTGAAATTGGCCCCAGGGTTCATTTTAGCATAAATATTGACTGATGAGAGTGAAATCCTGAGTGAAAGCTGTGATGTGGGTGTACGTTTGATTGTTGGTGGTGTGATGGTGGTAGATCAGTTGTGTTATGTTAGTGTGGATTAAATTTGAGTGCTGCTGTCTCTAGCCTAAAGACAGATTATGGTTGATCCTCATTGCCAGAGGTGTTTGTGTTTGATGTGTTTGTGTGTGTGTCATTCATCCACGCTGAATAAGACCATTTTAGTAACAGCTGCTTCTTAAACTCTCTCTCTCTCTGTGTATGTGTGTGTGTGTGTGTGTGTGTTTGCACCAATCACCTTATCTTCAACCAAATTTTCAGTTGCATCCTGCAAACCAAATCGACTGTATTATTCAGTGGTGCTTTACTCTTAAACTAATTTCTTTTTCTTTCAAGATGAGAACGGTCCGGTTTACCCGTCTCCATGTTCCCTGGTCCGTTCTCAGTCGTGAGGCAGAACTTCTTAAGATCAGAGTGCCGACTAAAAAGGTGAGTTACTATAAAAGGGAAACAGAAACATAAAAAGGCTGCCATTTGAGAATAAAATATAAAGATGTGTCAGAGCGCTGATGCAGTGGGTGATCTGTGAGGCTCATAAAGCTCTCAAGGACCTAGGTTTGAGTCTGGTCTGCATCATGTTCTGATTCCGTTTACCTTTGACTCTCTTTAACAGCCCCATAGAAAAAAAATACAAGGATACCCAATTTACATGCATGCATTTGTCAGAATCTTTAATAAGATATGTTATATGTGTTTTCTGAGAATCAAACCTACAATCTTGTGTTGCTAGTGTATTAAAACTAAAATTCTTCCATTAAAATCAACAATCAACTGTTAGCTCCCGTTAGGACGGTTCCTATTTTGGTGACTTTTTACATTTTTTTATTCATATTTGTATTCAGCAAGGATGCATTAAATTGACCAAAGTGATTGTAAAGACATTCGATTGCTTCTATTTCAAATAAATTCTTTTGAATTTAAAGTATCACGGTTTGCACAAAAATATTAAGCAGCACAACTGTTTTCATCATTGATAATAATAATGATGCTCAAGTTTCTTGAGCAGCAAATCAGCATATCAGAATGATATCCAAAGGATCATGTGACACTGAAGACTGGAGAAATGATGCTGAAAATTCAGTGTTTGCATCAAAAGAATAAATTACATTTAAAAAAATATTTTATATACACGTATGTATAATAAGTATGACCTGACATTTTATTCCAGTGTTTTACTGGTACAGATTGCACTGACAAATAAACTAATGCCAATGCTTAGAAACAGTTCTGTTCAAATGAGAGCCCAATGTGTCAATCCGAGCTGTTCAGAGACTCAACAGGCACTCCAAATGTGGACACTGGCACAGCCCATGAGTGTCATGTTTTTGGTGTTAAGAGCTTTGGCTCCATGACGATCTTTGTAAGTGCTCTGGGTTGGCGCGGTCTAAGAGCAGTTGTAATGCCAAAAGTCAATTCTCAAAGTCTGAACACTGCAGAGAAAAAAAAGAGATCAAGCCGATTACTTGTAAAATGTTTTCAAATTCCTGCAAGAGGCATTTGCATACGCTGCATACTAAGATGATTGTTAACGTCACATTTTCCTATACATTAAAATTTGGCTTAGAGTGACATCCTGAAAGAATGATTTATCCTTTGAGGTGGTGAGTTGTATTGAATGATATAATCTGATAATGGTGGATTAGCTGTTGACACATATGGACCCACATCCCATGTGCTTTGTTTGCCCACAAAACAAGATATATTTCCTTTCCACACATGTGGTGTTAAATCGTCTGACTCTGGTCTCAACTTCTAGTGTGTCTCGTCTCTCTTTAGCTCTTGATATAAATGGATTAATCTCTGTTTAATTTTAGTTCCGTTATGGTTGTTTTTCCAGACATATCAGCTGAAAGAGAAGACGGGGCTCATGGGCGTAATAAACTCTTTTTGGACGAAGATAAATCAGCTGTTCCAGCCGGGCGTACCGGAGCCTCAAGACCCACGCACACGGGTGCTATCCCAACCGTTCAGCAGAGACAAGCTACACCTGTGAGTGCCAGCATTCATAGACAGCCAGAGTGTCATAAAAGAGCATTTACAAAAAGCAAGCCCATGTGTTGGACTAATTGGTTGTCTTTTATTTTGCAGATTTGATATAAAGTCGAAAAACAGCTTGTTCAGCAATGCAATACGAGGTCGAATTGTAAGTATCAGTAATAATGAAACAGGATGATTATACACATCTGGACACATTAGAACAGATTTAAAGCAATAGTTTATCCAGAAATTATGTCAAGTTATGTTGTTCTAATGGTTCATTTTGCTGTGGAACACAAAAGGAGAATATTTGATGCAAATGGTAATGGTAATTTTTCCTCATACGGTTATAACGATTGGGGACTGGAGCTTTGAAGCTTCAAAAATGACAGAAAAGCAACATAGAAGTATCATTAAACTATACTGTTTTCGTGCCATACACTGACTCAAAAAGAACAATTTATGACTTAGACATTACTACATAGCTCATAAACTCACATGAACATGCCCAGAAGAACTGAGCTGAATGTTCAGCTAATAACATTTTCAATATATATCTTATGACTAAGTGCCCATTTCATATGGGTCATTTTTATGATACTTCATGGTGCTTTTTAGTAATCTTGGAGTCCACATTCATTATATTGAAATAGTGACCAGATAGGAATAGATGAAATTTTCATTTTTGGGTGAACTATTCTGTTAATGTATGATTGCTTTTTTTTAATGTATTATTGTGTTGCGCTCTTGCATAGGTTTATGAAATTCTGAGGCGCACCGCCTGCACACAGACCTGTCAAACTATGGGTATGTTCCTTGAGATGTCAAATCTACAAATGCCATACTCTTTTAAATTGGATTGTTAAACTGTCAATTTGAATATTCAAATTCTCTTTTCTTCCTCAGGTATTGCATCACTGCTAGCTAAAGGGGTTTATGATTCTGCCTTCCCTCTGCATGATGTAAGTTTTGCATTGTACCGCAGCTTAATACAGCTAATTTATAATTCGCCTGTTAGTTCAGTGTAAATGTGTGAGGTGGTTTGGGTAGAGCTCTGTGTGTGTTGTCATTGCTGCAGGGAGACTTTGACAGCTCAGAAGATAAAGAGCATCGCAATGACAGACAGGTGAGTCCTGCAGCCTGCTGCGATTGGACAGCAGCGTGTCACACAGTGACATTTAGGATTTTTGTTTTTATTTGATTGATAAAATGACAATAAGCTGCTTATTACTGTAATATGTACTTGTGTGTGTCATCTCTAAGAAGATGCAAAAGATTTGTAATGAGTAGGGATGTAACGATATTATCAATATCAAAATATCACAATAGCAAAACTGTCATTATGCTTTGGCACAGTATGTGTCAAACAAACTAAAACCAAAAGCACAATATGGCTTAATCCCTTCATCAAGTCTGTTTGCACTACACTTTTCGAAGCGCACACATTGATCGGCTCGTGATCCGGTGTTTTCCGAGCCTCAAAACATCTCCATTCACATTGAATGCAGTGAACTCGTTTATTGCACGTGCTGCAAGTTTAGCGCATGTTTAGGAACGCAACGGCCACCAGTTATGCTTCATTTTCACAGCAGATGATTAAAGCATTTCACTAGATTAGTAGTGAGACATTTTTGTAAGCCTGTTTTCACTGAAGCTGGAGTTTTCCTTCCAAATAAAAGCTCTACTGCCGTTTACGCCAAAATAAAAGCTTAAGTGCAGTATGAGTTGCTGACAGCTAGCGGTTTAAAAGCAGTCCAAATTCAAAATCTCTTTCAAGTGTAGAAATTAGGAAAGTATTGTAATTTCCCTACTGTAGTGCAAAGCAAAAATAATATACCAGTCACGGTCCAGGTGTGGAGGCAGGATGACGAGGATACAAAATAAGGATCTTTAATGTAGCGACAACAAGGCAGAGAGACACACGCACTCAGGGTAACATTCATAATAACCGACCAACTAGAACACAAGAGACAGGAACAGATATAGGGCAGTTAACGAGGGACTGACAGGTGAGCACATTAATAATTAGACGGGCTAAACCAACACGAGGGGAAGAAACCACAACAAACAGTCCGGGCCTCGGAGGCGGAGGCGAGGGAGACACCGACCATGGTGACGCTGGAGGGGCGGAGATGGAGAGCCAAAGAGCCAGGGGGATGCAGAGGATCTGGGGGCCCAGGGTGGAGCCGAGGGCTCCACCAGAGCGACGAGGCGCAGCCAGAGGAGAGGAGTCCAGAGGCGATGGCGGGTCGACGCCCGACCAAGGCGGAGCCGGAGGGACGAGAGAGCATGGTGGAGCTGATGGATCAATGGGTGACGGTGGAGGCGAGGGAGCTAGGAGCCGAGGTGGAGCCACTGGGTCTACGGACCGAGGCAGAGTCCGGGCCTTGGAGGCTGGAGGCGGAGGCGAGGGAGACTCCGACCATGGTGACGCCGGAGGAGGCCGGAGCGGGTGGGAGGGCGGGCATTTGAGGAGCGGGCACTGGAGAGCCCTTCCTGGGCTGGACTGGGGATCCGGAGCCCTTCCTGGGCTAACCGAAAGATCCGGAGCCCTTCCTGGGCTGGACCGAGGATTCCACAGTCTCTCCTCCTCATGCACTGTGACCTCCGTAGTCGATTGGCCGAATACCTCCCGGAAGTCTCACAAAACCCTCCAGCGAGTGAATCCCCGGGCTCTGTGCAGTCCACAAGGCTTTGGCCCACTGCAAGGCTCGTCCAGACAGCAACGAGATAATGAATGACACTTTGGCCCGCTGTGGTGTGGTTGCATCTCCAGGTAGCGGGAACATTGCAGCAACAACCCGCTGCCGAAGGCTGCCTCGCCCGAAAAGCTGGCTGGCCGGGCCATGGGACAGACGGGGCAATCCATAAAAAAAACAATCAAAACAAACGAAGGGAAAGACGCCGCTATACTTTACTTGAGGGTCGGTTATTCTGTCACGGTCCAGGTGTGTGGAGGCAGGCAGGATGATGAGGACGACAAGGATACAAAATAAGGATCTTTAATGTAGCGACAACAAGGCAGAGAGACACACACTCGGGGTAACATTCATAATAACTGACCAACTAGAACACAAGAGACAGGAACAGATATAGGGCAGTTAACGAGGGACCGACAGGTGAGCACAATGAGGTGATTAACTAATAATTAGACAGGGCTAAACCAGCACAAGGGGAAGAAACCACAACAAACAGTCCACAGGAGTGTAACAATACCTATGAATATTAATTTTCATTTATTTTACAGTGCAATTATTTTACAATATATGGCTATTACTGTCATTGTTATTATTATATTCTAATTTGTTTGGCTTTCTAAAACACCAGTGTGAATGTAATATAGACTGAGACAGTATATCAAATAAAAAGAGGGTTGAGTCCCCTTTAAAGTTCAGGTACAAGTCAATTCACTGACTTTTTTCTGACTTAAAGGGTTAGTTCACCCAAAAATTAAAATTAGGCTGCGTTTTAATGCAGCTTCTAATGTTGAACTCTCAAAGTGCATTAGATAGAATCATTTAACTTTAAAATGTACAAAATTTTCCTTTTTTCCCAATTCTTCATTTGTCTTTTTTTTTTAAATTACGCAGTAAATATCGTATCGTGAGATTTTGATATCGTTACATCCCTAGTAATGAGTGATATTTGTGTGTATTGCAGATGCTGCATGAGGAATGGGCCAATTATGGTGCTTGCTACAAATATCAGCCAATGGACCTTATAAGGTATCAGACATGACGTACATCCCTACTATCTGGTTCTGTGAAGGATGTTATTCAGCACACAGATGGTTATTAACTGGATCTCTTTTCTGATAACTGTCAGATGTGTGTGTGTATTTTTGTGGCTTGCTGTAAATAGTTCTACTTTAAATCGCATGGCTCGTTGAGAAGCGATGTCACTTTTCATTTTCAAGATTTCACCTGTCTGGCAGGCAACAAAACACCTGACAAAACAGTCTCATTCTGCCTATCCCAGAATGCTTATCAAACAAGCATTTTCAGCATTAAAAAACATTAATAAATGACCTGCAACTTGCTACAATCCAGCTTTGTTTTTAGAGTAAAAGAAGACGCTTTGCATCTGGTGAATTTAATATGCCCGCCTGGACATCACGAATATTTAAAACATGCCCACCGTATAGCATGCACGCTGAGAATGGCAGACGGTATGTCTTTGACAGTACAATACTAAGACTATTTAGTAAATGTATTACTTATCTTTTGGCTCACATGGAGTCTGCAAACTGACATATTCTGAGCTGATTATGGGGAAAAGCTCTGGAATGGACTGTAGCTGCTGAAAGCATAATCAGAATAGACAAAATATTTTAATAAATTAATATACAAGAATTGGAGGATGTGTAAAACTTGTGAATGGCATTCAGGTTCAATTGTAGGTTAATATTCCATGCAGTCATTGTTTTTGAAAACAGCGTTTTTGCATGTGCTGGTATTCAGTGGTTGTTTACCTTGTCAAATTTGTAACAGTTCTGTAACCCGTTTACCTGTATTCAAAAGGAAGTACTTTGGAGAGAAGATTGGCCTGTATTTTGCCTGGTTGGGAGTGTACACACAGCTGCTGATTCCAGCCTCGGCTTTAGGAGTCGCAGTATTCTTGTACGGCTGCCTCACCGTAGACACCAATGTGCCCAGGTAAACACATTCACATGTTTCCTTTTCTATCATCATGGGGTCTTTGCCTTAAAGGGTTAGTTCACCCAAAAATTTAAATTAGCCCACAAATTACTCACCCTCAAGTCATCCTAGGTGTATATGACTTTCTTCTTTCAGACGAATCCAGTCGGATTTATATTCAAAATTATCTTTCAAGCTGTTTAATGCCACTCAGCGGGTGTTGCATGCATCAGTCCAAAAGAAGTTAAATAAAATGCGCCCATCCATAAAAAAAAGTGTCTCACATGGGTGAACAAAGGCCTCCTGTTGCGAATCGATGCATTTTTGTAAGAAAAATATCCATATTCAAAACATAATAATCACTTTAATGTAGCTTGCAGATGACGTATGAGGTCAGCATTGCGCATGCACCGGTGAGTCTCGTGAAAACCAACGTTTGTTAACAGGAGCAAAGGAAGCAAAGTTTCCTTACTTTAGCAAAGGAAAACCAGTCTCCTCTTGGCTTATATCGAAATCCTCCGACGTTCTTCTTTACAAATCCTTGTTTTGTACTTCTAATAAGAGACTGTTGTTTTGTTTTGATCTCTCCCCTGCGCTTCCGCGTTCGTCACTTCTGAGCAGCGCATGCATAAATCTGACCTCATACGTCATTCCCCCGGAGCTGCTTCCGTGTATGACTGTTGGCGCAAACTACATTAAAGTGATTATTACGTTTTGAATATGGATATTTTTCTTACAAAAACGCATCAATTCGCTACAGGAGGCAATTGTTCACCCCCCGGAGCCGTGTGAGGCACTTATTATTATGGATGGATGATTTTTATTTAACTTCTTTTGGACTGATGCACTGCAACACCCACTGAGTGGCATTAAACAGCTTGAAAGATCAAAGACCATTTTTAATATAACTCCGACTGGATTCGTCTGAAAGGAGAAAGTCATATACACCTAGAATGACTTGAGGGTGAGTAATTTGTGGGCTAATTTTCATTTTTGGGTGAACTAACCCTTTAACTTCTGATGTTTTTTAACAAACAAATATGTTTCTATGCCCTAATCCTGAATCTGACCCTCACAGATTTTCATTAAGACTTTATTTAGTGTTTTTATTAAGCTATTTACCTTGTGGGGACTTAATATTGAAATAAATTTTTTTCATAATATAAGCTAATTGCTTTAGATCAAACCAACAGTAACTCTAATATGTATTTGAATTGCATTGATTTATTTTCTTAATTAAGCCTATTCCGGGGATGTTTTATAAGGTTTAGTTTTGATATTTTTTCCAAAGTTTTTCAAAGAAAATAAATGTTTATGTATTGCAGTGAATATTTATGATATAATCAAGAATTAATTTCTCCCTCTCTTTCAGTCAAGAGATGTGTGATGAGCGTCTTAATTTCACCATGTGTCCTCTATGTGATCGTGTGTGTGATTACTGGCAGCTGAGCAGTATCTGCAGTACGGCGCGTACCAGCTATCTGTTTGATAACCATGCCACAGTGGGCTTCGCCATCTTTATGTCCCTCTGGGGTATGAGCTGTATGGATATGTGCATTTGATGATAAACTGTGATTACTGTACATTTGTAATATACTGAGAAGAAATAAGGTGGTGTAAAGAGGAATAGATAGTGTTGTGATTATTGTGTTTGTGTGTGTGTGTGTGTGTGTGTGTGTGTGTGTGTGTGTGTGTGTGTGTGTGTGTGTGTTTAGCGGCAGTGTTTCTAGAACACTGGAAGAGGAGGCAACGATGTTTACAGCACAGCTGGGATCTGACAGGCATGGAAGACGATGAGGTGAGAAAAAGTCCCAAGCATTTCAGAATACTAGAAACATGATCAAAGTCACAGAACACCTCTAATATTCATTATTAAATAGCGGCAGCTCTAAAATCAGATTTTCGAAGCTGTAAAATAGCTGACATATGCACATCTGTGACTGCATCATTTAAAAAATGCTGCTCACTGAGTGGAATTCTGATTAAAAAAACAGAAGTTTGGGCAGGCACATCCAAGGATTTCCAAGGATATATATACTTTAATATAGGTAAATAGCCATGAGTAAAGATTTGTTACTTGCTAGTTGGTTGCAGTCTGTAGTAAAGAGGGGACATTCTTATTGTACAGAACAGTGGATTGGACAAAAACTTGTCAAAACGTATCAATATTGTCAAATATTATTACAATTTAAAATAACTATTTTCTATTTGAATATATTTTAAAATGTAATTTATTCCTGTGATGAAAAGCTGAATTTTCAGCACCGTTACTCCAGTCTTCAATGTCACGTGATCCTTCAGAAATCATTCTAATATGCTGATTTGATGCATACATACATTTTTCGGGATTCTTTGATGAATAAAAAGTTTAAAAAACAGCATTAATTTGTAATTAATAGAACTCTTTTGTAATAGAACTCTCTTTGTTGATTAATTTAATGCATCCTTGCTGAATAAAAGTAAAATAAGCATATAGATCATCCTCGATGCACCTCTATCCAGCATGACTTCCTAACTTTGGTATAATGATTGTTATGCATAACCTCCAATATCGCTGCCTTCTTAAAAATCACTCCAGAACCTATGAGCATCAGCGCAAACTCGCAGCAATGCAGTTCATAAAGCATTGCTAAACATAATCCAATATAATAGCCAATTCTCTCTAGTGCGACTCCAGCAGACCCTCGCGCTGACTGCTGATGGCCTGCTCTTCATTAGGTTTATGAAAATTCAAGATTTCATTGTTCTTGAGGGTTTGAACCGTTCACCTGGGAGCTGATTCAGTCTGAACGTGTGTTGTGTAAGTGGTGGGAGACGATGGTGTGTGTGTGTGTGATAGGACATGTGTGAGTAATGAGATCGTGTTCTGCTTAAAGCATTGAGCTGAGTGGATGAAGGTCTGCACTCTCAACAGGATGCAATGGAGATCATGAGCGACATGCTAATGTGAACAACAATGAATTTCAATTACACCGCATGTTAAATAGTGCAAACATGTGTCTAATGCTATGTTTTCTTTGCTTTCATGCTCACCGATAGGAAAGGGCTGAGGTAAACCTATCTCCTGCTCTCTTTCTCTATCTCTGTTTCTATATGGTTCCCGACATGTTCAAACGCACACCATATTTCTCTCCGTGTCCCTCACACTTCCCCCACCCTCATCATCGTTCCATCCCCATTTGCGTTTTTCTGTGCAGCAGGAGGGTCAATTTTGCATCGGCATTTATGGTGATGCTGTTTGATGAATCAACCCTGAATTCGTAGGAAGAGGGGAGATTTATAGTGGATTAATATTGTAGTAACCTGTGTCAAGAATCCTTTACCGTGATTTTATACCATTAACCTCAGTGCCATAATCCTAACCAAAATGGTCTTGTCAGATAATCACAACCTTATTTGTGAAGTTGAAAATGCTACCTGTCTGGTTGAAACACATGTTATGTCATAAATATATCATCTTAAGCATTCCACGTACAACTATATAGCACTCTTGTACAGGATATTGGTCTGATAGATTGAGTCTACTAAAGCAACGTGTTAGCCAGAAAAGCCCTGCGGGTTACGTGCTTTTTAATGAACTTGCAGTTTTGTACCATACTGGCGTCTTTGCCTCAAGACAAGAAAATTATTTAATGTGGAACAAAATAATTATTTCTATTTGTGCATGTGTTTGTGAATCCTGTTTCTATGGAGACAGTTTTGCTTATGCATGTCTAAGGTATTGATGTTGAATTTGCTGCTTTTTGAAATCTTTGGAGTTCTTGATCACTGAGCTTGATGTGTGTGTGTTTGTGTGACAGAATGAGCTACGACCAGCATATGAGGACTTTCTTCTTAAGAAACAAGAGAAGAAGGCAAAGAATAAGAAGGAAGAGGTAAACTGCACCATTATGTACAAAACTATTAGGTTCTTATGTTTTGACCGATGAATTTCCATAATTTTCCATAACATTTTCAGTTGTTTGTGATTACTGAATAATTATTTTAAAATAGAAAATAGTAATTTTATAAAGATTGTACTCACAAAGAGTAATAATTATAATTGTAAAAATATATTTTTATCCTAAAAGAGTAATAAGTACAATTATTTAAATACATTTTTTTTTAGAGCTGTATATAACAAAAAAAAATTATATTCACTATGACTAAAACTTTATCATGTCTTCTTATAATCTTAATAATTTCTATGAATTTTCCAAGCTTGGAAATCACAACAGTTCCCTGATATCATGCAAATATCAGATCAGATTTTTCAAAAATATCAGAATATTATTGAATTATTAAAATATTACTGAACAAGGATGCAGAGACATTAACGATAACTTAAAACAATACTCTTGCAAAATTTCTGAAGGAATGTGCACAATATTCCTGTAAGTGTGAATTAACTCATTAAATGAAATGTTACTTTAATTTAATAATTTGTATAATATTTTTTAAATATATAATAATTATATTAATTGTCATTGATGACTCTAGCAAAAAGAATCTTGGAATTACATTCGGAATTTTAATTTATCCAGTAGAATTTTATTTGTTTCTTATTAAATTCCTATTAGGATTTTTTTTTAAATAATAGAAATTATCTTTAGTAAAAAAAAGAAAAGAAAAGTATGATAGATATTCCAATAGATACATATTTTAATTATTTATTTTGTTTAATAAACATGTGTGTTTAAAGTTATTTTTACTCACTATTATCAATTCAGGATATGAACGTGAAGTCTTCATTTTCACTTTAATTTAATTATTGCTTAAAAATGCACTGAGCTGAAATACCTGGAATACCACGCACATTTTTCAAGGAGAATGAGTGCGTGTGTGCAGTGCTTTTAATCTCTGCTCTGTGTTCTAGCCAAACGCAGGAACGGATGACAAAGGAAGAGAGAAGCTACTGTCTGCTAAAGGAGGACAGTCGCCGGTGAGGAGGGGGGAGATAATTTGAGAGTTTACTGTGTGTCTGTCTAAGAGAGAGCAAGCTAATCAACTTAACCAGAAGAGGCGGGGCTTTAGGGATAATGCAGTTAGTTCTCAGCTGTCAGTCACAGAGTGGTCACTGCCCTGACCTCCGTCGGACCCTCCTGCCCACCCGACTCATATCCGTCTTTCTTCCTATCAAACCCCGCATTAGCACTCTCTTATCTTTTTCTTCTCATTCTTTCTGACAATTGAATTAATTAGATAATGAATTACTCAGTCCGGTGGATAGCCGTGTTTTTCCCCTTTGAAATGAGCAGTTTGGTCGCAATTTCACTTGATGTGATTTTGCGGATTTTTGTTACTGTCACTGTGCCCTTGTACGCAGTGTCAGGCCTGTGGCGCATACACACAACACACGTATGCGCTCAAACACTCTCTGTGGCGTACACGCTTACTACACACGGCACTCAAAGCAGATTACCTCTCTGGGTATTCCACACTAGATTATGCAGGATTAGAGTCAGCGGGATTAAACCACGCAAGTTAGAGTGGTGTCCTTCCTCTAATCAAAGACACATGTTCAGTGTGTATGTGCGTGTACCTGAGAGAGTGTAGTGTGTTTTAATTCAGATTTGATGCGTGCGCGTCTGGGGGAGGGTTGGATCCGTGATGTTCATTAGCTTCAGCACTTCAATCAAATCAGCCCTACTTAGTTTCAGTGATTAGTTTGTTGCAAGTCCAAAACTATTTCCTGTTCTGATGCACAAAGCCGCTACAACAAATTTAGATTTTGTAAAAAGTAATATTTAACAGTGTTAAGTATTTAACTGAATAACTACACAATATATTGGAGGCCAGGCCAAACTGGTAATGGTCAATATTAGCATATTTTTAAAGATATAATTTTTTAGGTAATCAATTAATAGGATGATTTGACCAAAAATTTTTAAATACTGTGGTGCTTCTTTAAAAACTTAATTTATTCTCATTTCCTAACATTACATTTTAAAATTATTTATTTGTATTTATAAGTTATTTATTTAAATACATCAACTAAAAGCATATAATGACCAGTCTTAGTTCACACCATCCTAAAACAATAATTATAACATTTAATAATCATTCTAATTCTGAGAATAGGGAACACCACGCCATAACTATAACGTTAATGACGTTGGAATCACTTTCAGAATGATTTTTTTCCAGCTGATGAACAATAAAAACATTGACAGCCAATGAGAATCCATCCTGCTTTAAAGAGCTTGAGCATTTAAAGCTACAGATGACAAAACTGCAGCACGCTAATGATAAACAAACCTTATCATACATTGATGTGGACACTAATATAGTTATCATTATAGTTACCTTCATATATATTTTTTTTGTGGCATGAACAGACCTTTATTCTTTCTTTTCAGTTTTTTTTTTCATATTTTATTTTATTTATTATTATTTCCCCCCCCCAAAAGTATCATATTTCGACTGTACATAATGTACATAAATAACATTATATAACATACGTATGTATATGCATGTACGTATATAACGTTTTGATGCCAGATTTGTCCAGAAGCATGTACAAATTCTAGAATAGATATTAGTGTGAACATTGTTCATGTTCTGTTTAAAAAAGGACTAAATAAATCAATGCCACCTGCAGAGTACAGATCCAACCCTGATCAAACACACCGGTCTGTAATTATCAAGCGCTTCTGAAGAGCTTAATTAGCTAATTGAGGTGTGTTTAATCAGGGTTGGAGCTGAACTCTGCAGGTACAGCAGGTAGATCTCCAGGAACAGGACTGGGCACCCCTGGTATAGACTTTTTATGGTATGGGCCATCATATTGGTTATTGCCATACCATAAAAATGTGACCTGTGCTGGCAAAACGAGTCACAATGAGCAAATTTTCAAAAAACAAGTTATTTTTCTTTTATTTTAACCTTCAAAATGACGTATGATTTGTTTGAATCAGACAAAAATGACTGAGCTACACCTGTTTGAAGTCGAAAAAAAAAACGAGTTAATGTTTTCTGAAGGTTCCTATCACCTACAACATTGCATCTTCTCCTCCACTTCTTTTCTTAATAATAATCACTATATTAATAATCACAATATAGCTGATTGTTATTTTATTTTTATTACTAAAAATTAGAACAAAGATGCAAATAAACTGTAGAACAAATATGAGAAAGAACTTTTCTTACTTTTTTCATCTTACATTAAACACACTGAAACTGCGGTTTCAATCAAATTATTTTAGCTACATTTAAATAAACAAATTTAGCTGACTAACATTAAACATTTTTTTCATTTAAATGTAGCTAAAATAAATTGTTTGCAACCACTTACCTTAAAAAAATTTAGTATATTTTTTTCAGTGCAGAAGGATTCAGGTAAGAAAAACAGACTAATCAAATGTAAAAATCACTTCAGTGTATTCAATACAAATGAAATTAAAACTACAAAAGCAGTTCAATCAAGAACATTGAGTGATTCCTTTGTTTCTTTAATTGTTAGATTAACAGTAATGAGACAGACTGCCTATATATTAATACCTACTGTAATGCACAGATCTAATATAATGTTACACATCAGATGTTTTTCCCCAACAGTTCCCCAATGGTTCACTTGAGACATAACAGATAGTGTTTGTGTGAATACTCGCCAAGACAGATATTTTGAAATACTGTAATCTATATATATTATCATTTTAGATGTTTGATTACTGTTTGGAGCATCGGGATCGCTAGACAAGGGCTTAATGAATTCATTTTTGTGAAAACCTCAAATTTTCACTTTTTTTTTTTTTTGTGTGCCTGTAGTTCAAAATCAGCCCATGTGCATTCCGACTCATTTTGCCAGCATGGGTCACAAATAATAATTGCTTGTCAGTATCATGCAAAATGTGATTATGGTACTCCAGTAGCTAGTGTATTCACAGCTGATATGGTGAGCATTAAGTAACATCCTGTTGTTCTTGTAGCTTGCCTCTGAGTCTTTGTCATGGACAGACAGGCTGCCAGGGTACTGCATCAACATATCCTCTATCCTCCTTATGGTAGGTACCTTTCCCCATAACGGCATTTGTTGCATAGTTTTTACAGTTAAAATTCACATTTATCTGTTTTCTCAGGTTGGGGTCACGTTCTCTGCCGTATCTGGAGTGATTCTCTACCGTATCATTGTGTTTGCTGTTATGTCAATGAACCCTGACCATGAGGCCAAGGCTAATGTGCGTGTAACCGTGACAACCACCGCTGTCATCATCAACTTGCTGGTGGTTCTGGTGCTGGATGAGATCTACGGCGCTATAGCGGCCTGGATTACAGAGCTTGGTGTGTGTGTGTTTACATGACAAAAGATTAAATGTTTTTGTTTTCTTGATAAAAGTGTGACTCTGACGAAGAAAAGATCATGCATTACCGATGATTATTATGAATATGATGTTAATGTCATACTTGCAGAGATTCCAAAGACTGAATCGACATTTGAGGAGCATGTGATCTTGAAAGCTTTTTTGCTGAAGAGCATGAATGCATTTGCACCTGTCTTCTATGTGGCCTTCTTTAAGGGCAGGTAAATTGGCATCCTATTAGCATACCCACCCAAACTAATGTGACGTTCTGTCTCTGTTGTCAATGATAACTGGATTATTATAATGTACTTTGTTGTTGTTTGTCATGTCCAGTTTGTTGCAGTGTAGTCGTGTGCTTACTGTAGTATTGTGTTTGTATGTAGTGTTGTCTACACTAGTGTCTATACTGTATACTGTAGTGTTGTGGGTCTGTCCTGTGTAGTCCATTGTTGAGAATGTTATCTATGTTCATCTACATTGTATATATCACTTTGCAGTGACCATTCTTTTCATAAAAACATTTATATATATATATATATATATATATATA